ATAACATTTCTGAATATATAAATTATTATATATACCAAAAAATAAAAATAGTTTTTAGTTTTTTTATAATTCGATTTTATAGGAACGTCAAAGGACTGTGAAATGTCGACGAAGCACTTTGACCATGAATTTTCCGAAATTCACTACAATTTTGCTTGATATATGTATATATATTTAGTTTATGATAAAACTATATATTTTATGTTTTTTTAATATGAGACAGTTGTTCAGGAAGTTTAAAAATTGTAGTGAGACTTAGGTTTTAGACAAAAAGATATAAAATTCTTTAGCATTTATTCTAATAAACCAGGTTGAGGTTCATGTCTATACTGAACAAAAAATTCAAAAAAAGATAAGGAACACAATATATAAATAGTAAAATAATTGGTAAATAATATTGAGAACCTTTAAGGAATTTCTATCTCCTAATACTTTAGTATATATATATATACCATATAGATAACTATATATCATAGTGCATCATTGTGATATGTAATTCAAACTCAGCAATTTTATTTTTACCTTATCTAAACAGTATAACCGTATAGAATTGTTAAGAAAATTTATATTATAGCATTCAAAATATTTTTTATATTACAACATCTACAATACTATTTACCAAACTTTTAGTTAGTGTGCAAGCTATACTGAACACTCAAAGACGTTCACTTTCTTCCGGAGTTTCAATTTTCACCAAATATCTAATGGCTACACCGTCCGAGACCGAATCAACCATAGAAGAAGCTCTGGAACAAACACGTAAATATATATATTTAAAATAAAATATATAATTCTTCACATAAGTTGCGCGGTAATAACTACTACCATTCATATCGTGTCGTATATATTAATCAAAAAATAACTATTATATAGCAAAATTATTATATATATTTATTATATAAAATTATAATAATATTTATTATTATTATATATTCTGGATATTTGAACACTACAAATGTTTTATAAGACGTTTTCTAAAAAAATGTTTATTTTTTTTTACATATATTTTAATAGACTTTCATTTTATTCAGCTGTTTCTTTGATGTAGTCGTTTTTCAGTCTGAGTCGTTCTTCTGTTCCTACAAAAGTTTGTTGGTCTTCCTTACGAATCGCGACATTCCGATAATAATAGTAAAAGGTACTTAGTTCATTGATATTAACTAGTTTCAGAACGCTTACAAAGCCGTTTCTTGAGCCAACTTTTTTTAATGAAGATGATGTAATTAATTGCAGTTTTATATCTATGAATTGATGATGAATATTTCACAATAGCTGTATAGTTAGTCCTTTAATTCACATGACTAAAAGTTAGATTTAGAAAATTGCTCACTATTACTATATTTGATCTTTTTTTATTCGTAGATAGATTTTTTGTCACCCATGTCCTGATTACTCGTTATAAAATATCCATATTAATAAGTGATTATGATATTAATTTGTAATATTTCACAGATTTTGGAAAATTTAACTATCTTATCATATTGTTTACGGGGCTTACTTTTCAAAATGTGGTCTTCGAGTGCATGAGTCTAAGTTTTGCTCTTCCACTTTTAGAATGCGAACTAGTATTGAGTCATAATAAAAGAGGAATTTTGTGTGCAATATGCTTTATTGGGATGATAGTTTGTTCACACTTTTGGGGCTTTATGGCGGATACAATGGGTCGTAAATCTATTATGCGACCAGCATTATTTGTTGGATTTGCAATTACAACTGTTTCATCGTTTTCACCCAATTTCGAATCATTAATGGTGTTGAGATTTTTAACTGGATGTGCGTAAGTAACACACACATATATAAACTATAATAATATATATTAATAATATATTCTACAAGAAAGGTTAGCAGCACCTGCATCTATAGCTTATTCCTATCTAGGAGAGTTCCATGATCAAAAATATCGTAATCGTGCAATACTATCAGCTTCATTCATCACTGCATTTCTTGTGATATTTTTTCCGATCTACGCTTGGGCCTTCATCAATATGAAATGGAAAATGTATATACCGATTTTAAATATTATGTATAAACCTTGGCGTTTATATATAATGGTATGCGGTTTCACAGGCTTAATGTGCGGTATTGGATTAACTTTTTTACCCGAAAGTCCCAAATATCTTTTAGCTAAGGGAAAACCAGAAAACGCTATTGAAGTTTTAAAATATATGCATCATGTAAATACGAAACATTTTAAAGCTTTGAGTAAAGTTGAGTTTAAGGTGAGCAAAGATACTCTTTCTATAAGTCTTTATTCTTTAAATTATTCAAAATCTATAGATAGGAAAATTATTATCAGAGGATTACGTGATGCCTAACAAATCTTTGGATGGAAAAAATTTCGTTATTCGTTTTTTAATCTCGATGTGGCAGCAGACCTCATTGCTTTTTATGCGAGAACACTTACGAAAAACATTTATTTGTTGTTTACTTCAGTTTGTTATATTTTTTACGGCGTACGGAATTTTAATGTGGTTTCCTTATATATTAAACACCATAACCCAGTACAAAAAACATCACTCAGAGCCTAAAACATTATGTGAAATTTTAAGTTATAGGCCTCACTCCAACTCTAGTTTTACAGAGGTAATCCTATAGATATTTTCAACAAAGATTTGTATGGACCAATTTCCACAAACCATTAAAGCTTTGATAATCAATATAAGAGTTTTATTATCGATCATTTCAGATACATACTTCTGTCTGCATTCAACATCTGGAGATATCCACTTTTCATCACAGCATTGCATTAGAAACAATAGCCGCCATATTGCTTTTAATAAACAGTTATGCGATTGGAAAACTTGGAAGTAAAACAATACTATGTAAGTTCTTTCAGAGGGAAAAGGGTTTAACTAGATAAAAACTTTATAAATTAAATTAAATTTTTTTTTTTTATTAAGTTTTGATCTTAGTTGTGAGTGGTACAAGTGGATTACTTGCCTTTCTGATAAAAGTTCCCATAATAGCGATTTATGCATTTGCATTAGAGTTATGTTGCTCTCTAGCGGTATCTGTAGTAAATGCAATTATTGTTGATATATATCCAACAAGTATAAGGTAAGTTCAAATATATTTCTATATATTTTATTATATTAACTGTTTAATAAATATAGAACAATAGCGATAAGTATTGCAATGATGATGGGTCGTATAAGTAGCATAAGCGCAAGTTATATATTTGGATTATTATATAGCACCAGCTGTAATCTTATCTTATTGTCTTCAGCAGCCGCCTTAATATTTGCTGGATTCTTAAGCTTATTTTTACCACAATCAATTGTAGTACAGAAGAGTCCAAAAAATTTGATTAATTAGTATTCAAATTAAAAAATAAAAAAAAATAATTTTTAGTATAGAATTCTTGTGATAGAACAATAATAATTTTTTTAATTATTTATTTAAATATATAACAATTCTTATTAATAATAAATAGTATTCAAACAAAAATTCAAATTTAAATTTATTATTTAATTTAAAAAAAAAGAAGTACATAGACGGCTGCCAATGGGTGTGTTAGAGAGAATGTGCCGTTGAACTTAGCTTTAAAAGAACTAGGGATGAATTTTAATTTATTATTGATTTATTAATAGTTTAATAAGTTATAATGTATATAATGATAAAGTTATAATGTATATAATGTGATTATTAAATAAATGTATGCAGTATATTAGGCGTGTAAATTAATTTCTGGATCTCAACGACTTCCGAGTTGAACACCTTATTTATTGTGAGCTATCAAACATATTCAGCGTCATTTCTTTACTCTGTAATTTATTAATATATGTATACGTATATAATATTTTGAAAGTATAGAGTTATTTAAGATAAATATCACAACTTTTAGTACATTATTTCGCAACAATTTAGTACTATGTCGTTTGTTTGAAGAAATTTACGTTAAGCATTCTTGATCTAAAAGTATTTGCGAAGGGTATTTTTAATATTTCAAAAACAATGTATACAATATAAAGGAACCCCAAACAATTAATTCGTTAAATGAAAAACCTTGAATAGATCAAATTGGAATAGCTATTAAAGAAAGGAATATCTGAAGGAATATAATACATTGTAGCATGAACCGCTTCTTAATTTCATCACAATTATGGCTTTTATATATTTAAATAAATATATAATATACAAACAAAAAAATAATTAAAAGCAACTAATTACAAAATAACCATAAAGCAATTTAATTTTACCAATATTAAGTCAAATTTACTTATAAGGTGGTCAATTAAACTAATTCGATGACATACTGATTTTAATGAGACCCATAAATACGATGGCCATTTTTATTATTAAGTTTTGTTGCACAAGGCTGGCACTCCTAGCTCTAAGCCGTAACTTAATAATGGCCGTTAAAGGTAAAAATCTCAAACATTTAGTGCACAAATATTATCCATTTGTTAAGGGACGACTCCCCCATTGACAGCTTTATAAAGTTAGTTAGAATAGAAGCCTATAAGATTCCGAATTTTCTCCTAGCCAATGGCGGGCATTAATAATTGGTTGAGTATAGCTTGGTTCACACACCCGACAAAAGTTGTTGAAAGGTAGACCTAATCTTATTACCCAATTGTAAGTATTAACACTTGGTTGAGTATAGCTTCGTCCACATTCGTGTGCTCACACGCACGACAAAAATTGTTGAAAGGTAGACCTGGTCTTATTGCATGCCTTTCTAATACGTAGTGACCCTTCAGCACCAATACCGTAGTATTGCGTTAGTTTCGAATTAGCTGAAGCAGCTGACATACGAATTTTGTTCTACTTGAACCAGACTTACCAAGTGCTTCACAGTTGGATGAATTTCTGCCTTTACTGTTTCAAGATTCGTCGAAACCTGAAGTTGAAATTATATATCATCGGTTGTTTTAGAATACTTCTAAGAATTTTACTTTAAATAAATAGTTAATTCATTTGGTTCACAAAAATATAGATAGATAACTACATAAACGATGGGGACTGAGGCCATCAATTAAGTAGAGTGTAAGCATAAATCTTTCTTGTACTGAAGCAGATCCTAACTGAATGGAAAGTATTTTGCTGCTAAATGAAGGCCATAATCTCTTTAGTTGAGGAGTTTCCATGCAAAAATGTGATTATAAAAATAAATTCGTCTTTATTGAACTAATAATAGATACACAATCCGTACGTATTCTTTAGGTTACTTTCCATCAAATATTACACAGCTGTGTTATCAATTCTGAAAATACTTTTGATTATATTTATACTATAATTTTTTAATTCTTTTTTTATTATTTTTCTACTAAACTTCTGTTTGTATTAGACTTTTTTTATTATTTTTCTACTAAACTTCTGTTTGTATTAGACTTTGTAAAGAAAAATATTATTAAAATATTTGCTTAGTATATTTGTATCATTAGACGGTGTATTAAATGTTAAGATAAAATTATATATTATATCTGATATATTATTAAAACAAAGTATAGTCGGCCATACATACATATGTTCTATACATTTATCTGAATTTAATAATATAAATCCAGAAGATTCGAAATACAAATCTAAAATGGATCATTATGTACGATCATATAATAAACACTATGATGAAATGTGTTTATTTGACTACATATCATATTAGAATTACTCAAGTAGTTTAGATAAAAACTAGTTCATTTTGATATTAGAGTCTAATCTTTTTTTCTAAACAACATCTTCAACTTTACAGAGAAAACTTACAAGTTTACTTCTGTTTAGATACAAAAATGATTTTAACTCTCGTGGATGTTCGTATACGATTGCTAAAAAACGCGATTTACTATAACTCGCTATGAGTACAGCAAAATTTTATTTTGTTGTCTGTTCCAACTAATAAAAAAGCAATATTTTATTATTAAACTTATCATAATTACTGAAATAAAAATTAAGAAATGGATTAGCAACCAAAATATTTCGTCACAAAGATACTTTCTCCATATCATCAGACATAAAAGCATTTTTCACCAGTCCTCAAACGTTTTTCGAGATGCACAAAAGTGCACTAGTTGCGGTTTTCTATAATCTTACGATTAGATACTCTGCTTACTGGCCATAGTTATTTTTTTGGTTTGAAAACATGGCTAGAAGTGTAAATGGAGTTGTTGTACCAACAATTGAAGAAGCACTTGCCCAAACACGTAAGTAATAATATCAATAATATTTGCCATATTCAATATTTTAATATTTTAATAATCACATATACACATATTGACAGATTTTGGCAAATTCAACTATTTGCTGATATTATTTTCGGGATTCGTGCTCAAATCTGTGGTTTTTGAAAGTGTAGCCATCAGTTTTGCTTTGCCTATTTTGGAATGTGATTTGAGTTTAAACTATCAACAGCAAGGTATAATTGGAGCAGTGGCCTTTATAGGAATTATAGTAAGCTCTCATTTTTGGGGCTTTTTAGCTGACACGACAGGTCGGAAACGTATTATGTTGCCAGCATTATTTCTGGGATTTTTAGTTACAGTTCTATCAAGTTTTTCACCAAATTTTGAATCTCTGGTCGTACTTAGATTTATCAATGGATTTTTGTAAGTAGTATTTAATCCTGTTTTATATATTTTTGTTTTATGTTTAAGATATTTAGAATTTCATCTGGTTCAGCAACCATATATGCATACTTAGGTGAATTTCACTGCCAAAAATATAGAAATCGCGCTATTCTATCAGCGGCTATGATAAGTGCAACTTGTGCTATATTCTTTCCAATATATGCTTGGATATTTATTAACCAGAACTGGGAGTTCTATGTACCACTGCTCGAATTTAAATACAAGCCATGGAGATTATTTATGCTTATATGCGGCTTACCAGGTTTAGCATGTGGTGTGGCTTTATGCTTTCTACCTGAAAGTCCAAAATATCTTTTGACAATAGGACGAACAAATGAAGCTGTGGAGGTACTAAAAAGAATACACCGAGTTAATACTAAAGGAAATAAGAAGTTACATGGTGATGAATTTAGTGTATGTTAACTGATGACAAGTATTTAATTTATTAAAATTGTATTTTAATTTTTCTAATTTTCAGGTTAAAGCAATACAACCAGACCTGGAAGCGATGAGCAAAAAGAAAACTAGTACATCAAATAAGAATCTGGTATATAACATATTTCATTCAATGTGGCATCAAACGGCTCCACTTTTTATGCGAGAGCATTTACGGAAAACCGTTATTTGTAGTGTTTTGCAATATGTTCTATATTTCTCAGCTCACGGTGTTTATATGTGGTTCCCTTATATACTAAATAGTATATCACAATATACTAAGGAATATACAAATCCTCGAACAATTTGTGAAATCGTAAATTTTTCAAATCATACCACTAAAGAAAATGATGTAAGTACTATATGATTTATGCGTAAACTATTTTGACAAACCTTAAATATATTATATATATTTATATATTATTAAAAAAAATTGAAGAATGGTTACCATGCATAGGTTTCGAAATTTAAAAAATGTATTCAACTGTCGTAAAACTTGTCTTATTATCATTGGAGTTCTATACTGTTTTAAAATTTTTTTTTAAAACTTAACAAAGAAAATATTCGAGATCCGTTGTCTCTGTTCTTTCGACTTTGCTTTTCTTTCCGCAGCTTTTGAACCGTCAGGTTCTTTGGTTCTCCTTAACCAAAGATCTTATGACCGTTCTAGTCCTGATGGAAAATTAGTAGTAGCAATTTCATAACACCATTCGTTAAAGTAGTCAGAGGCAAACAGATATGTTTATTCACAAACGGCAGATATAAAAACAGAGCATGTACATTAGCCTAGACAGGTGGCAAGAAAACATGATTAATATCAATGATCAATAAAAGAATTCAGAAGGCAGAAATGATGAAAAAATAGTCTTAAATTTGAATTGCAGAAAATGGGAGTAATATTTTGGAATAATTTTCAAAAACTGTGTGTCCAATAAAAGGGAATCGTTAATAATGCAAACGCTGTTTGCATTAGCTATTCGTAATGTCAAGAAAAAATATTTATTGTAAAACCTTCGTATTGTTATACCCCATAACGGAAGATTTAGGTCATAGTAAATTGCTTCAGATTGACAAATTATTATTATACTTATACCCTCAGAGGTTCTTTAATCGCTGAAGATGTGACAGTTTTTATGGATTACCATTTACAATTTACGAATTCATTCAAACTTATTTATTTATTTATCAAATTCAAAAAAATTCGCATTACATTAAAACAATATTATAACTTGTAAATTGTTTTCGCATGTTTTTCTTCAGTGTAATATTTCCACGTTTAACCAGGACTATTAAGGCAAATTGTCTTAAGAGTTTTTCCTGAAATAGTTGTTTTAAACTGCTCAGGCAATGCCAATTCAACATAGTCTCCACTGGGTTCAGGAAGTACAACATTCATCGCAGACGATTGAGAGCTTACAATTTCCACACTTAGTGAGTCTTTACTCAAATACATTTGGCAACCATTGGTTTTATCAATCAAAATCGTAGATACGAAGCCCAAGGTCTGCATTTGGATGCTCTGGCAATTTACAAATTCAATTGAAGATACTACAGAATCGAAAAGCAGAGCGCATTTCTTGCATGAATCCATAACAATGCTATTTACTTTGCCTTTAACGATAAGAGTAGAATCTTCACATTTAAACATATAAATAACATTATTAATTTCAGTATTTTCAATCAACAAGTCAGCGTTTTTCTTCTGATGTTCAATAATCCATTTTTTACCATCGCGCTTAAATATAGGCTCCTTTACAGTAGCTAATGCACTTGCACCTTCAGTTACCAAACAAAGATTTGGTCCAGTACGCAATGTTGAATTTTTATGCGTTTCCATATTGTCGGTCACTTTTTCCACATTTTTAGTGTTATCCTCTCCTTGATTAATTTCTACATTCTTACTACGATTAAGCGACATGGTCACTAAAGCTGGTATAATATCTTTGCCTAACCAAAAAGGTATGATATTGTTTGATGCGAGCTTAGAGTAGACCCAATGTTTTAATCCACACCTACTTTATTTCGGATATTGTTTATATAAAGAAATTATTTCATTTAATATAAAATTTATAGAAAACAGTATGTCTGCTCAGTTTTTCTATTATTCAAAAATATGCATATTAAAGTTTATATTTTGTTTTTTAGAATGGATGTACAACACAGTTAGAGATTTCCACTTATCAACATACCATTATGTTAGAGGTTATTTATGTCGTACTGCTTTTAATAGTCAGCTATACTATTGGAAGATTTGGACGGAAAATAATTTTGTGTAAGTTAAAGTATTTCACCAATCGATATATAACAAAATATGTATTATCTGTAAACTATTTGTTTAAAAGTTTTATCATCTCCGTTTCTGTCATTGCTGAAGTTTTCACATCTTTGGTGTGAAGCCTTAAGCCAGCTTCAGATTTCCATTTTAACCCAAATTAGCTGAGACACCAACAATCCAATACATTCTTAAACGACCCTTGTGTCGTGTTTAGGAGTTTGTAGTTCAGTTGCGCCTACTGGACTCGGTTTTCTTCAAATAATTTAGCAAACTCACGGTACTACCACCATTACATAGCCTGAGTAAATTGTCGCTATCAAGTTGATAGAAGTTTCAATGCCTCTAATTTTTAATATATAGGATTATAAATTATTAAATAATTGATGGGTTTTGTTTCGTAAACTCTAAGGTATTGTTCGTTTACACAATGCCTGGTTGTACTCCTGTTTCATGGCCGTAATTTACTGTCAGTCTAATATTTTGTTTATACTTGATATAAATATCAAGTATATGTGTTTACACTACAACAATTATATCAAAAAATAGATAAATGGATAAAGAGAAAGGAAATGACGTATTTCACTAGAAAATATAATAATTAATCTATAACAGCTTTAATAATCCAAAATCAAAATAAATGATATTAAATCATTAAAAATTAATTGATAAGTATTATTATATTAATAGCATCACTTTTTCAACAAAAGATCCGTTACAAAAGTTCGGCTCTTTAACATCCTATATCTCGGCAATTATATAAAATGGAGCCCACATATTATAATTCTTGTTTCTTAGACCAAGGAATCTCTTCTTAAGGTTAAAGCTTGTTGGTATGAAACACCATTTACACCCCGAGTTGAGAGCAACTATATATTTAATGCAATAACTTTTCGGTCATGTACATTGTGTTAAAGTAAATATAGTAAATAGTGAAGAATATTGCTTTTTGACATGAAACTGAAATGCGATTCAGTAATCTTATGTCCTTTTGCAACAGGTATTTTAATTTATTATAATAATTGAGTTAAATCAAATATTTCCAGTCCTAATATTACTTATATGTGGTGTTTGTGGAGTTCTGGGATTTGTTGCCAAAATTCCATTACTGGCTATTTATTTATTCGTTATTCAACTTTGCTGTGGTCTAGGCGTAACTGTTGTCAATGCTATTGTAGTGGACATTTACCCAACAAACTTAAGGTAAGTAAATTAAATAAGTAATATAGAACTACACAATACTATTAAAATTCGAAATTGGAACGAAGGACAAACGTAATTATTTGTTTATTTTATTTTACTTTACAGAGCCATGGCAGTGTGCATATCAATGATGATAGGTCGTATCGGCAGTGTTAGTGGCACTAATGCAATTGGTATACTTGTCGAAACACATTGCAATACAACATTAATAAGTTCAGCCGCTGCACTCATTTTGGCCGGATTCCTGAGTCTTTTGCTGCCCCATCCAAAAATGCAAATAAAAAGTTCCATAGAAGCTTAAAAATATTATAAACAATTTTATTCGCAGCGTTTAAAAATTTTTGTTATTCTCACATTTTGTAATTGTTATTCAAGTAATTTCAATAATTTCAATAATTTACGATTGCCAAGCATTAGTATAGGAGTTTTTATTCATTTAAGTAACGTAATTTTAACTACAACTGGCCGCAATTCTCAATTACCACCTTCTTTGTAGTTTGACCAGATTTAGAACCCAGATTCTCAATTTTTCTCACTGCTTCCATACCATCAATCACTTTACCGAACACAACATGACGTCCATCCAACCAGGATGTCTTTACAGTGGTTATAAAGAATTGTGAACCATTAGTGTTTGGTCCTGCATTAGCCATAGAAAGCATACCAGCGTCAGAATGTTTAATAGTAAAGTTCTCATCGTCAAACTTATTGCCGTATATTGATTTTCCTCCCGTTCCATTATTTGCAGTGAAATCACCACCTTGACACATAAAATTTGGTATAACACGATGGAATGTTGAACCTTTATAACCGAAACCCTTTTCTCCAGTACATAATGCACGAAAATTTTCAGATGTTTTGGGTACAATATCAGTACGGAGCTGTAATAAAATATAACACCGATATATAATAATTTATATTATATGTATAATAACAACAATTGAGATTTCAATAAAATTTAATTTATTTTTAAGCATAAATTTTCTTCTTTACTCTAACATAATGAATTTGTATTTATTTTATTTCTCCGCAATCTTCAATAACAATCTTTTTCATAGGACTTCCTGCTGCACAACCATAAGATTCCATAGACTTTACTACTTCCATACCTTGGATCACTTGTCCAAAAACAACATGCTGCCCATCCAACCAAGGCGTTTTAACGGTACAAATGAAAAACTGCGAACCATTTGTATTGGGACCAGCATTAGCCATAGAAAGTATGCCTGGTGTAGTATGTTTTAATTTGAAATTCTCATCTTTGAAGGTGGTACCGTAAATAGATTTACCACCTGTACCATTATTTTTGGTAAAATCACCGCCCTGACACATAAAATTGGGTATAACACGATGAAAAGTGCAACCCTTATACCCATATCCTTTTTTACCTGTACAGAGAACACGAAAATTTTCGACTGTCTTTGGTACAACATCCTTGCGTAACTGTAAAAGAAAAATTATAAAGTGTGCTAACCAATCATATATCCTTTCAAGATGTCATGATGTCATGAGTGGTGGAATGGCTGTGCACATAAGTCATGAACTACACGTATTAGCGATGTAACTAAGAACTAAATAAATTAAAAGAGTACTTTAATTTTTTTATTTTATTGCGTTTAACTTTAATTAATTTGGTTATATGAATAAAGCAGCGAGCATACAAATTTAAATTTAAATTTTTAATAAGTGTTAATTTGTATGCACATAAATTGAAAGCGTTTGTTTATTTAACTTCGCCACAATCAGAGATGACAACCTTCCTTTTGGTGTTGCCAGAATCTGATCCCATTCCTTCAATTTTCTTAACAATCTCCATGCCTTGAACAACCTTTCCGAAGACAACATGCTTATCGTTCAACCATTCACATTTATCAGTGCAAATAAAGAATTGAGAACCATTGGTATTTGGACCAGCATTAGCCATTGAAAGAATACCAGGACCAGTGTGCTTCAAATCAAAGTTTTCATCTTTGAAGGTATTACCATAAATGGACTTGCCACCAGTGCCATTGTGGTTAGTAAAATCACCACCTTGACACATGAAATTTGGTATAACGCGATGGAAACAGGAACCCTTGTAACCGAAACCCTTCTCACCAGTGCATAGGGTACGGAAATTTTCACAAGTCTTAGGTACCACATCGGCACGTAACTGTAACGTTAATAAGATATTGTTAGAAATATATAAAGGAGAATAAAATATAGAAGTACATATACACAATAATGCATATTATACAACTGCTAATAAGAACATTGATAGATATATGGTTTTTAAATACAATATAAGCCAAAGAGAGAATTTTCATTCATATCTAAATATATTTCAAGAACGTTCTGCTACAGTTATATTGTGTTCCTGTAGAGAAAATTTTCAGATACTTGTGTTTGTTTAAGTGAATGTTTGGAAGTCTATCTTTGTTATGGAATATGAAGTGAACTACTTAAGATTCGTGTTCTGAGGCTAACAGATTTCTGTTGAAATGTCTTCGAAGTGTTCACGAGTGATAATTATAAAAAAAATTTAAAAAATTGTTTTAAAGATAAAAACGATTTTTCAAAGATATATCAACTTAGAAAACACATGCAGAAATGCCTTTAAGTAAGCGAACATAAATATATAACAATTTAAATTTACTAGTTAAAAATAAGTATAAATGTTTTTTATTGCGATTCCTTCAATGCAATTTCCGAACTCAGCCATTTACTAAGAGAACCCTGAAAAAATTCAAGTGATATAATCATGTAACCAAGTGATACATTAAAAACTTCACACTGGAAATAAATAACCTCACTAAATTGATATCATATAAATTTCAGAAAAAACCTCAGCAATCCACACAC